GAATTTTCTTGAAGAAGTTTTTTATATTTATTGATAATGACAAACCTTTTAAATCACTGGTAGACTTGTCAAGGAACCGAACTTAGATTGAATTTTAATCCATTTAAATTTGAAACAGATCAGATTATTTAACAAATTTTATTTTTATAGTCCATATTTGAACACATTGATAGTTAGATTGAATTACTAATTTGATTAGTGATGGTACACTTCAGAGATAGAGTGGATGACCAACACGTGCCCTCGACACCAAAGATACATTTTTATTCTAACAATGACACGTGTCCTCGGCACCGAGAGTACATTTTTATTCTAACAAGAACATGTGTCCTCGGCAGCGAGGACACGTCTTTTGCCCTGATTGAAACACGTGTCCTCTGCTCCGATGGCATGTGTTGCTCTTTTGCAGATGCTCATGCTCGACGCCAAGGTGCTCCTCCTCCATATGACAAACCCGTGTCCTCGGCTCCAAGGGTGCCTCCGTTCCAAGGGAAGCTATGTGTCCTCAGCCCCGAGGGTACTCGCCGAAGTTTTGATTTGGCCACGTGTCCTCGAGTTTTAGAGAGGTTACTGATTGACAGCTAAACAATTTAAACTAGATTAGGAATCATGAAGGTGTTCTGCACGATAAAAATCAAGATGACAGAATGAATTGAACACTCAATCAAAGAGAGTCAGACACGTGACATAAAGTACAGGATGAGAGGTAGACAAACATAAATATCTCTGCTGACATTCGACTCTTTCAGACAAACATTTAATGAATCCTCATATGATGTGACATTCACAGTGACTTTGGGATCCGAGGAAGAGGAACATTAAATGATCTAGGGCCAGTGCATTTAATATTCATACCTTGGAGTAAGAGCATTAAATGCTTGGCATCTCGAGCAATTAATATTGGGGCATCCCTCATGCAAAATAGAAGATACACTGTCCCATTTCTGGACACGACCTACTGTGTAGATCATCATTAATAATGAGTATTTGAAAGTATAAATAGTCTTCAAAAATACATTACAAAGGTACGCACATTCACCCCCTAAAAGGCAATACAGTGCTTTTTTCTTCCTTGCTCTAAAACAATTGACTTGATAACGCCGAAAAATACTCCGACGTCCTTCTAACTTGTTTTTCTATGTACCAGGAGCATCTTGCGACCCACCGGGACTGGTTGGATAGCCCCTAGGGTAATTTATCACCACTCCTTAGACTCCCTTTGGCCCTCTCAACTCATTCCTCGCTACGGGATCCACCATCTTGACGAACTTGAGTTCACCGCAGGAGAGATCTGTTTCCATCTCATCTATTGTGCAAAAATCAGCCCGCACAATTAGTATATCCAATTTTCAAAATGATTTTATCAAATAATTACTTAATTTCATCATTTATTTGTATAAATATAACTGTATAATTAAAATTAAATTATAATCAGACCAAATGTTAGTTTATTCAAATTTAAATTCATTAAATATGAAATAACGTATTTGGATTTTGATTTAAATTATTGATAAAAAAAAATATCAACTATATTTGACAAATCAAGTTCAAATTCGAATTGAATATAAATCAAAATTTAATCTATCGACCGAGTTAAGCATAGGTATTGGATTGACCTGGATGACACTAATGAGAGTTAAATTCAAGACGTGGAGGGAGGGTTAGAAATTGTCCTTAAATTTGTAGAACCGTTGTGATGGGAAAGTAAAGCACCATCTTTTTGCATCGAGAAGGTATTCCCATGCACAATGACAGATCAATTTCCAGCAAAAGGGAAAGACAAGTGAAAAGAAAAAGACAGCACCAAAAAGCATATGCTCTTGTCTTGTTGGGTCTCTGCTTTTACCAATTCAACAACACTTGGTGGATCAAACATACAACAAAGAAGGCCACAAAAATAGGAAAACGTTTCATTGGTCACATCCCCCCCCCCCCCCCCCCCTCTTTTCCCTCCCTCTTCAAATAGACCTTACAATAGATCGAATTTTGACCCATCTGAATTTAAATTTAATTTATAAATTCTGCAACGATTATCTAATGAACTTTATTGTCAAAGTTTGTATTCGAATATATTAAAACTAGCAATCTAATTCAAAAATCTGATCTAATTTGCATAATTTAATTAAGTTAATTTTAAATAAATTATACCTAAAATTTATCAAATAAATAACTCAATTTATTGTCAAAGTTTGTATTCAATTTTGACTATCTATATAGTAAAGTACAATACAATTCAAATTTCAAAAGATAAACAAAATAATTTTTACTTTTTGCAGTTAAAATATTTTAAAATTTTATTTTAAAATTAATCTGACGATTAATATTAACGCTTTAAATTTAATATAAAAAATAAGTCCATAAGAGTGTATTTAAGATAACTTTTTAAAAGTACTTCTAAAATTTTATCTCTTTACAAGTATTTTAAAAAAAAAATAGTACTTGGTATTATCCCACCACCACTCCCACTGCCCCACCACCGTCATCCCCACCACCACCACCACTACCCCCATCGCCCCAGCATCACTACCACTATTATCATCACCACCACCACCACTATTATCACTGCCGACACCACACCACCACTTTAGCTTCAACAACCACCACCATTACCACTAACACTATTTCTATCGCCCCACCACTACCTTCATCAGCGTTGGAGTCACCTTACCACCCCCACCCCCACCCCACCCCCACGCCACACTGCTCCAACCACACCACCGTTGTCACCCTACCACCACCTGTTCTATTACAACTATCACCACTATCGTCGTCGTCACCACCACCACCCCACAACTACCCCACCATCACCACCACCACCACCACCACCACCATTCCATCATTGTCTCCTACCACCATCAGTGCCACTCACTATCACTATCACTACTTGTCCAATTACAATCGGTGTTTAAATTTATTTTTCTCTCCTCTATCTTTGTAATTTGATTTTGAGTGTAAATAAAAAAAAATTTATTATTGACCTTTTTTTATTACTTCATGTCTTCAGGCACATGAAATAACTAGTGTTAAATATAGTACAATTAGTAATATAACTTGTGTCCTAAGACAAGCTGTAATATAAAATTGAGCGTTCAAAAAATTAAATAAAAATTTATTCCCTCCCCTTTCTTTAATTATATAATTTAAAATTAATGTATACACATTATTTAAAACAAAAATCAACTAATATTTTTTTAAATATATGACCTCAAAAAAATATCAATATATGTGCACTATTGTATATGAATAATATTCGAAATAAAAATTACATTAAATCACAAATTAATTAAAATTTAAATAATTCAGTTATATTCAAACTCAGATTATCAATTAAAAAAATACAATTTCATGTATGACTAATCTAATTACAATATATAATCAGAATCAAAATTCAATGACGTTTTTAGCATCCTACCAAAATCCCTTTTAATATATTTTGTTTTATTTTATTTTTGGGACAAATCCTCTACGATTTATTTAAAAAAAAAAACCAACTTAAATACAATGATGTCACTTAAATACACGATTGATGATCCACTAACTATGACGAAAAAGAGCTACGCAATAAACGCCTCCATTGTCTCACCGTTCAATCTTAGCTACCAATATTGAAACGTCCACGTGTACGGTCTGGAATTGTGACGGTGATGGACTAGATTGGCAGAGTTGAAACTGAGCTTGAGAAAAAGTACGTAGAAGATCGACACCGACGCTGAAAATAGAAATGTGCAGTAAATTTAGATATTTTAATTTTAAAATTTGACAATTTTTTGAAATAAAATCATAAAAAATTTATTATTCATGCATTTTTTAAATTTAATAAGAATGCTGTACTCTGATGAAACCAATGAAAAAATTACTGGAAATAACCTAAAACGTACCCCAAAAAAAAGTAGGTAGATGACGGAGGATTTAACGGCACTAAACGGTGGAAATGTGTACCATCTAGTTCACAACGATAAGGCAAGTATAATAACAACAATTGGACGAAAAAGGACATGAACGCTAATCTCAGCCCGACATGGTCATCATCGTCCATTACCATTGAAAAAGCACCCAATAATGTGATTTCTCATCGCCACACGGCATTCTATTCTATTATATATTCCTTGGACATTCCCACGCAAACCCCACAGTGAAAATCAGAAAAAGCAGTGGCACCGAAAAAAATACATTTTTTGGGTACTTTACCTCTTATTCTTTAACTAATTAAACATAAAATATTTATATTTTATTATTTTCAAAATCAACAATTATAAATAAATCATCACAAAATGTTTTGCAATGATACTAAAATTTTTCACCAAATCCAAAGAATATAAGAAAAAGAACAATGTTATATGAACTTAATTTAAAAATAAAAAAATTATTTAAATCTAATTCGAGGACCTTATTTAATGCATCCATTAGGTTAAAGATGAGCTTTAGCTAATATTAAAATTTACAATTAATTTAATAACTACATCGAATTAGGTTTGTAATTAAGCATCAAATTAATTCTTTATAAAAAAAACCTAATTCAATGTAATTATTTGATTAATTGTGAATTTTAATGTTAAATATAAGTAGTTGACTACGAAAAAAAAATTTGGTACCATGTCTCAATTTATCATATTTGTGATTACTTTTATTACATTTGTGAGTATTTTTATTATTGTTGTGGTACCTAAAAAAGTGATAAAAATATCTATAAATATGATAAAAAAAAAAAAACAATTACAATAGTGGTAAATTAATCACAAAAGTGATAAAAATAATATTCACAAATAGGGTAAAAATACTCACAACAATGATAAAAATATCTATAAAAATAATAAATTTTTTAATTATAAAATAACCAATAGAAATTATAAAAATATCTTTTCAAATAATAAATTTTAGAGGAATGGTACCAAAATATAATTACTCTTAATTCAACAACTTATTAGATCTTGTAGTATACTTTCATATTAAGTCTAAGTAACTTTTTCGTTTTCTTAAGAAAAAAAGGAATGAAAGTGCACCTCCTGCTGACCTCATCCTGTGAGCATCCAGATCTTGCAGCTCAGAGAAGCTACCCTTTTGCAGTCTAATTGTTTCTCTCTAGCTTTCAACTGAAAGAAGTGACCACAAAGAATTGAACAGCACACCCAGAAATGAATTGGGTGAAAGGAAACAACACAAGAGAAGAAACCCAAAAAAAAAGAGAATGAGAGCTCACCAAATGAGCTTCTTTTTGATACTCTCACTGGTTACATCTTTCGTGGTCCAATTTACAGCAGGAGCAGAACCCAAAATTCAGTCTTCGATTGCTAACGAAATTCACAGAAGAATTCTGCACCAGCCATTGTTTCCGACGAGTTCGGCACCGCCACCGGCTCCAGAATCACTGCCACCACCACCGCCACCACCGGCAAGTCAGGTTTTCACAAATCCAGACCAGCCATTCTTCCCGGAAGTTCCCACTGGACAGACACCGGATCAGACCCAATCACCACCAGCACCAGTCCATGGCACCACCGCCATCACAGCCCCAAACCCAATTGCCACACAGCCAGCCAAACCAGCCAAAAAAGTGGCAATTGCAATATCAGTGGGAATCGTCACTCTAGGGATGTTGTCAGCATTGGCATTCTATCTCTATCGCCACCGCGTAAAACACACCGGCGAGACCCAAAAACTCGTCAGAGACAATTCACAAACACCTGGCGACGAGTCAAGAATGCCTCCTCAATCTACTTTTCTGTACATTGGTACAGTTGAACCATCCAGCCGGAGATCGGTCGGAGAGACCAACGGAGGAAATGTGTCCCCTTACCGGAAACTGAGCTCAGTGAAAAGATCGGAACGGTATAGGCCGAGTCCTGATCTTCAGCCACTGCCACCGTTGAGTAAGCCACCACCACCACCAAGAATGAGTTCGCCGCCACCCATGTCATCATCGGATGAGGAGAGCCATGACACTGCGTTTTACACGCCACAGTGCTCGTCGATGAGCAACGAGGAAGGGTATTACACTCCCAGTTCACGCCAGAGTTATCAGGGCAATAATTTCAGGATGATGACTCAAGTGAGAACTGAGACTCCTGTCGCCAATTCTGTTCCTCATTCTAAGAGAACCTCACCAAAATCGCGCCTTTCTTCATCACCTCCTGATACAAAACATGCCATCATACCGTCAATTGGGCAGCCTACAGCTCCGCCGCCGCCCCCACCACCACCACCACCATTTCCTCCGCCGCTGCCGCAACAGCATCAAGTCCAGTACAATCAACCCACAATGCCATATTCACCCAAAAGGCCGAAATTTGCATCACCACCTCCACCACCAGATATGGCACGTCTTCAGTGGATAAATAATCAATCCCCACAGAAATCTAGAGGGCCAGTTCCACCTCCACCTCCACCGCCACCGCCACCACCACTGCCACCGCCACTATCAACAAAACCAAAATTAGGATGTTCAGACATAACTGCACCATCACTGGCTTTCCATCAATTGAGAAAACCACAACCAAGGAGTCCTACAGCCAAGGCAACTCCTGTGACTGAGAAAACAAAACCTGTCGAAGAGTTAAACAAAGGTGCCAGTTCTTCTGAGAAAAATGATGATTTGGATGGATCAAAACCCAAGTTAAAGCCTCTCCACTGGGACAAAGTACGGGCAGCCTCCGACCGAGCCACAGTGTGGGACCAGCTAAAATCAAGCTCCTTTCAGTAAGTAGACAAAGTGAAAATTTCATGTTACTGAATCTGGGGTACAATTTCTGATCAAGAGTCCTTTTTTGCTTCTTGGCAGATTGAATGAGGACATGATAGAGTCTCTTTTTGGATGTAATCCCACAAGCTCAATTCCAAAACAAGCCAGCAGAAAATCAGTTCTCACTCCTATTGAACAAGAAAACAGAGTATTGGACCCAAAGAAGTCACAGAACATAGCCATACTATTAAGAGCATTGAATGTGACAAGGGAGGAGGTTTCTGAGGCACTTCTAGATGGTAAGTCATTCACTTTCTTATTCCTTGGCAGTAATGGTGATTCAACTCTATATACAGGACATCACATAGGACAAGATATATGAAAATACATACATTTTCTCTTCTCCATGCCAAATACATAAAGAAAATACAAACTGATTCCAAATGGAGGATGATTAGATATTAACTTACCTTTAAGAGTCGCATCAAAATCTATGGTTGTATTTCATTGTATTCACTTGAAAGAATCAAACAAAATGGGGTATGTAAACAGAATTTCTTTTGATTATTTTATTTGAACGCACCTATTAATTACGAAATTGCATTGATGGCATGTATTCGGGTCCTAGCTCATCTGAGAGCTAGATTTACCTCAATTGTTTGTTGCTTTCCTTTAGCTTTTCTCAAATTAGCTTCCGCTATTTCAAGAGTTTATTGAGCTTCTTGTGGACCAATTTCAATCAAAGAAAATACGCATATATAGAAGGTAGTTAAACACCCTCAATTTGAGATTACAAACTACTACCTAACCATCATCTAGAGATTAATCTCCTATTTTGAAGCCTTCATTATCGTCACCAATCATCATTAGCTTAACAGGCATGCTAAATTCAACTAGTATATCTTCCAATAGAAAGTTCATGATCTTCTTCCTCTCAATACTTCGGAAGTTATGTTCCAAGTGTTTTTAGGGCCTCCAGAGCAAGGTTTCATCTCAAATCAATGTCGACTCAACAAATGATTTACTTTATTTAATCATGATCTTCATGAACCAGAATTTCCCATAATTAGCCTACAAACAAAAACATTCATTTTTGTTAATCATGGTCAGAATACTCCGAAATTAGCTCAATACAGTTTCCTTTGCAATACTAAGTGACACCCTAGAGCGGCATGATTTGTATTAGCCAAAACTTGCAGTTACATTTAAGATGAAACAAATATAGTACTTTTGGGTATTTTTCTGATTCTATGTTTCTGGTACTTATTGCATACAAGAGAGAGTCACATTTCCTCAATAAAATATCCTAACTTCATTAAGCCCACACATTAATCTGAAGAACACAAGCAGGTATACTCATTCTGAGAAAGAAAGAGAGTAAGATTAAACACAAAGCAGTAGATGCTAAAACTCATTTTATCAAGAAATTCTAGTCACTGTATAATTCAACAACTTTTCAGTCTAGACTGTTGAGTTTGAAGCAAGCTTAGATGCAAATGTGAAAGTAAATAGATGGAAACTATCAATTTTGTGAGATAGACAAGTAGATGGACTATAAAGAAGGAAACAGCAAAAGGATAGCTAAATGAAGATCTCATCCAATATTTTGGTTTCCACCATTCAAAAATTCAACTGCGCAACCTAATCAGCAGTTCTAGACATATTGTCTGTATTATGTATGTGATGCCAACAAATTACAATGTCAATATAACAATGATTCAATGGAAAAGCAACTGATGGAAGAAAATAAGATGTCCACAAATCCTTTATCTTGGCCCTTCTATTATACATCTATTCTTTGGGCATAAGTCCTGCTTCTTTAAATTGCCACATCACACCACTGAATGCATTGCTGCAACAGGAAATCCAGAAGGCTTGGGTGCTGAGCTTTTGGAAACTTTGGTGAAAATGGCTCCAACCAAGGAGGAAGAAATAAAACTAAGAGACTACAGTGGTGCCATATCAAGATTGGGCTCTGCTGAGCGATTTCTCAAGGCAGTACTTGATGTACCATTTGCCTTTAAAAGAGTTGAAGCCATGCTATACAGAGCCAACTTTGATACAGAAGTAAAGTACTTGAGGAAGTCCTTTCAAACTCTAGAGGTATTATTCACAACAAAAACCTATCAGTTCAGTCACATTAGTTGAAAGATTCCATCCATCTTGGCTGCTCAGTCGCAAGGCCTTGATATTGTGATATCTCAGCCATGTGAAATGCATATATATGCATCAACTAATGGAATATTGTCATGTCTGTCATCTATAATTATTGTGAACTGGAATCAAGAACTGCAAAATCATTTCATCTGCAATAAACAAATTTTTTCAAGAATCTTAATTGCAAGCCTTAACTCTATGTATTAAATCTATCAGGCAGCAAGTGAAGAATTGAAGAACAGTCGGTTATTCCTTAAACTCCTTGAAGCTGTTCTGAGGACAGGAAATCGTATGAACGTCGGGACTAACCGTGGTGATGCAACAGCTTTCAAACTTGATACCTTGTTGAAGTTGGTAGATATAAAGGGAACAGATGGAAAGACAACTTTGCTCCACTTTGTTGTCAAAGAGATTATCAGATCAGAAGGTGCAGGTTCAGACCCTAGTACTGAAGAACTTCCAAATCAAATGAATTCGAAAGTGAAAGAGGAGGATTTCAAGAAACAAGGATTCCAGGTTGTTTCAGGGTTGAGCAGAGAACTTGGCAATGTCAAAAAAGCAGCAGGAATGGATTCAGATGTCTTGAGTAGCTATGTATCAAAGCTTGAGATGGGGCTTGAGAAAATCACATTGGTTTTGCAATATGAAAAACCAAATATGCAAGGGAAATTCTTTGAATCGATGAAAATTTTCATCAAAGAGGCAGAAGAGGAAATCAACACTGTAAAAGCTGAAGAAAGAAAGGCTTTGTCCTTGGTGCAAGGGGTAACACAGTATTTTCATGGTGACACTGCTAAAGAGGGAGCACATCCTTTCAGAATTTTCATGATCGTAAGAGATTTTCTATCCATTCTGGATAATGTGTGCAAGGAAGTCGGGAGGATGCAGGATAAGACAACGGTGGGTTCTGCAAGATCATTCAGGATACCTGCAACTACACCACTACCAGTCCTTAACAGATACAATGTGAGACAAGATAGGAGTTCAGATGAAGAAAGCTTATCACCATAAAACATCCGCAAATAAGACATCAGTGTCGCATGAAAAGCCCATCATGACTTCGTTACAAGCAAGTCAGCGGAGTAGAATGATTACTACTCTGACTTGTAAGAGAAATCCCACACTACATTCGGGGAAATAACCTCACGTCAAAGAGTCAGCCTTCATCCGAAATAAGAAAACGAAAATGGTATGAGCCCCAGAAAAAAATGCAGAATCTATAGGTTGAATATGAGTAAGAACATGAATAAGAAGAAGCAGTGTGAAGTTCCATGAATAAGAAGAAGAAGCAGTATGAGGTTCCATGCGACCACAAAAAGGAAGGTAATCAAAATTCACACACCCAGAATCCAACTAAACACAAATAGAGATAGGAAATAGTTTTCTTCAATTACATACATCTGCAGGGGAACATCATGTTATGGTTTGAATTTAATTTTAATACTATTTTTTATTTATTCAATTTAAGAATTTTTTCTTGTTCTTATTTCTTAATTCTCATACCTTGCTATACTTTTTATCTGACTGATCTTCATGTTTTGATTGAGGTTGCTAAGTAATAATCAAACTGTTCAGGCTGATTTTTTTTTTAAAAACAATTACCATCTGGTGAATTGAGGTTATAACCTTTGAGAATACATGAAATAGAAGAACAGAGAGAGAAACTGCAATACCTATGCGTGGGATGAGCACCAAATGACTGCAAAAATTCCGCTGTGAAAATGGGTTACAAACACATCTTTTTTCCAACTCTATCACCAAAGAACTCCTACGATCTGTAAATCGTCAGAGTCTTTGTCGTGAGATTACGGTCAGATTTTTACTCAGTATTTAGTGCCGCCGAGTTTGCTCTACAGCTATAATTTACGAAGAGGGAAAAAAAAAAGTGATAGGTAATGGAAGATAGCGATGAAAGTTTACAGAAACATACCAAAATCGGAGAAAAAGCTCAGTTCCTGTTGTCTGTGGACTACCTTGCCATGGCTATTTGGGACGTAAGTTTGATATTTATTTGAATTGATGGACGAATCCGGTGGTCCGCTTGCTGGTTATGTAGTGTTTGGGGGGTTAATGGTTTACATTTTATTTTTCTTTGTCATCCGGGACAAGTTAGAAGAGGAATTATTTTATTTGGTTGGTAGCGTCATCAAAGCCAACAATCACTTTTGCACACAAAAAGAAGGAACTCGAAGTGAAACAACGCCTGCAACATAAGGATAGTTGGCCTTCCATCCTATTCTATCTGGTAGACTTGATAAAGGGCCCGACCTCTTGCCAAAATTAGATTAGATTTTCACTTTGGCTCTTTAAACATTAAAAATCTCATATTACACGTAACAATCTTTTAAATCATAGCAATATTTTCCTTCTTGTATTAAATTGGAACATGATTTTACAGGTAAATAAAGACATAAAAAGAGGCACATTGTTATCAAAGTGCAATGTGAAACTTTCATTCCTCGAATATAAAACAGAAAAAATTTTAATAAGTTCATCCATCAGTCTCAAACAAACTCATATAACGGCCACCAATATCTCTTTGAAAATCATTCTGATTGAATTTTACCTTCATTTTCTCACTCTTCACTCTCTCTCTCTCTCTCTAGCAATGGTAGAGAGAGGAGGGTCTAGATCCACCATGATATTTTTTTTGGATATTTTTAATTGGGCCCGCTGTAATGATTTATTAAAAAGAAAATTAATTGGGTCAAATAAGTTGGGTACTATAACAAAAAAAAAGTTCATACCAAATGTGTTAAAATTAGCAAACTAAAATTGATTACTTAAAATATTGTTATGATTTGTTGGAGCTTCATTTGATTCAAAAATTATGAAATATATAACCAAAAATGAGTAAAATATCAAATTTGTAAGAAGATTAAATATTATAGAATATTACTTTTATTTGTGTCAAATCTATAATATAAATAAGACAAACTTCAATAAGTTTATTCGACGATATCAAATAGACTTATCTAACAGTCTCCAACATCCCTCTCAAAACCATTCACATTGAATTTCTACCCTCTTAAATTAATCACTTCTCACTTACGTTGCACCGTGCCTTTAGGCCCGGGTTACCCCTAGTATGTTACTGTCACACCCTAACTGACTTTGGTGCAAATGTCCGGTCTTGGTGGTACCTTGCACCAAAGCATGCCATAAGTTGGAATCAAGGTGACGCGGCTAAGTGGTTCGACAGATTGGGGCAAACCAAGGCAGCATGAGACCACCCGGTTGAGCATGACAGCAAGTGGTGGGCTCAATTGAAGCAATGTGGATGCATAGCTTCGGATTGCATGGCATGGGTTGAATCCAGCATGCACATTGGTTCGTGAAGCAAGGCTGGCTGCTGAATGTGGGCACATGACTGGCACATGGCTACTTAATGCACGTGACTAGGAGGATGTGGGCAGTTGTAGATGCCGAGACACATTCAATGCAGTTGCTGAGGCAGTTCTGGGCGTCCCTAGGCTAAATTCAGTCCAGATGCATGTTGGTGAATGACAGTTCCACATCAATTACTGAAAAGGGTGGAACTGTCTGCCAGGTGTCGTACAGAGACCAAACCTACTAGCCAAGTATACTATGGAATAGCAAAAGCATGTGTAACTACCCCTTGGCAGATGGGGGTGTCATCTGCCTTACTCCTGTATAAATAGGGGTGTTTGAGCATTCTGATAGAGAGAGAGAGTGTTCTGGCTTTGAGAATTCCTTGTAAATTGTTAAGTTCAATATATAAGGTTTGGGAGTTTTGTCCTAGTAAATTCGTGTGTGCTTTCTGTGTGAGTTTCTGTCCCTTATTCTTGAGTTTGTGTGTGGTTGGTTGCAATAGCAACGCCTTCACAAGTAGCCTTGAAAGAAAAACGAAAGTTACCATGTGACATTTTGGTATCAAAGCATGATTTTAGCAAAAGATCAACTATGGCTGGCGGAGCGAATGCTGATCTGAGAGAAAGGGTGGCACGTTTGGAGGAGTTGGTTGGTCCTCCACAGTCCGGTGATGCTGTGGCTCTCTTTGTGCAACTTGAGTTGTTGTATCAGCAGTTTGAAGAGATGCGTGTTGCACATGAACAACTTCAAAAGACTGAATCTGATCACTTCAGTCGAGTGAAAAACAAAGTCGTTGACGTGCTGGCTACGGTCTCCACATGGACCAATGATATGGGAAAAAATTGAGTTCCCTTGAAACAGATGTTTCAGTGCTCAAGAAGGCACTGCAAAATGCTTCTTTGGCTTCTGGCAGTGAAAGCACTCAGAAAACTAAAGTGTCTGACCCTAAGCCTTTCACAGACAGTCGTAATGCTAAAGAACTCGAGAACTTTCTGTGGGATATGGGGCACTACTTCAAAGCAATTCGCACTCTGGATGCTGAGAAGGTAGATCTCACTAGCATGTACCTGTCTGGTGATGCTAAATTATGGTGGCGAACACGTTTTTAGGACAAATCTTGTCCTCCAATTACTACTTGAGAGTCTCTGTCTGCTAAAATGAAAGAGCAATTCTTTCCCAACAACACGGCTTGGCAAGCCCATGATGCATTGAGGAAACTTCGACATACAAGCACCGTGAGGGAGTGCGTGAAGCAATTCTTGTCTCTGATGCTTGACATCAAAAGTATGTCAAAGGAAGACAAGCTGTTCAACTTTATGTCTGGCCTCCAAACTTGGACACAGGCAGAACTTCATCGGCAAGGGGTGAAAGACTTACCCGTTGTCTGCAACAGACGCGCTGGTTGACTACAAAACGCAGGCTAACCCTCTAGAGAAGGAGTCAAAAGGGAAAGTCAAGTTCCCTAAGAGGGACAAGCAGAAGAAAAAGGCTAAGAAGTCTGGCAATTCAGAAAAATCGACTAACAAAGCCTTTTCATCAAAGGGAGGTGCTGACTCAGGCTGTTTTATCTATAATGGCCCTCATCGTGCCAGAAATTGCCCCCAAGAAGGAAAAGCTTAGTGCCCTTATGGCTGAGGAAACTGACTGTTCTGACGAACCAACACAAGTCAACCCATTACAACTCCTTAATGTAATTCGCAAAGAGGAGACGGTGGCAAAGAGGGGGTTGATGTTTGTGCAGATTTGCCTGAACAATGTGACTGTCCAGTTAATGGTTGATACAGGTGCAACCCATAATTTTGTTTCTGACCGGGAAGTACAGCGGCTTGGTCTGGCTTTGGTGAAAGGTTCTAGCCAGATTAAAGTTGTTAATTCAGAGGCAAAACCAGTAGGCGGCGTCGCAAGAAAAGTCCCTTTAAAAGTTGGTGATTGGCAAGGACCATGTGATTTTATGGCATTCCCTCTCGATGATTTTCAGGTAATCCTTGGACTGCAATTCCTTACAAAGGCAAATGTGTCTGTTATGCCGTATTTACATGGGATGTTCGTGATGGACATGCCCAATCCCTGCTTTGTTCCCCTCACAAGGCCAAGTCTTCAAGAAAAATGTTGTCTGCCTTGCAAATAAAAGATGGCTTGCGGAGGGGGAAAACAACATACTTGACTGTTCTATTTGAGGAAGAGGAATCCAAAGCATTGCAAATCCCTAAACCAGTAGAACAGTTGCTGATTGAGTTCAAGAACGTGGCACCTAAAGAATTGTCAGTAAGGTTACTGCCAAGACGGGAGATTGATCATGTCATCGAGTTGATTCCAGGGGTAAAAATCCCTACCCAGGCTCCTTATCGAATGTCTCCATCAAAGTTGGCGGAGCCAAGGAGACAACTTGGGGGTTTATTGGACATTGGGTTCATTCAACCTTCCAAGGCACCCTATGGAGCCCCTGATCTGTTTCAAAAAAAGAAGGACGGATCCTTATGACTTTGTGTAGACTACAGAGCCCTCAACAAAGCCACTGTCAAAAATAACTATCCAATGCCGCTTGTTGACGAATTATTTAATAGATTGGAAAAGACGATTTTTTTCACCAAGATGGACTTACGGTTGGGATATCATCAAGTCAGAATTGTAGAGGTAGATGAGGCGAAGACTGCTTGTGTGACAAGGTACGGGTCATATGAGTTTGTAGTCATGCCTTTCGGCTTAACCAACGCTCTTACTACATTCTGTAACTTGATAACCAACGTATTTCGGGAATACTTAGATCGTTTCATGGTGATTTATTTGGATGACATAGTTGTTTATAGCCAGACTCTTGAGGAGCATGTTGAGCATCTTAGGCTGGCTTTGACAAAGTTGAGGGAAGCCCAGTTGTATCTGAAACTAGAAAAATGTGAGTTTGCACAGAAGAAAAATTTATTCCTTAGGCATATTATTTCTGCGGACGTGGTGAAGATGGACCTGAAGAAAGTTGAGGCCATTGCAGATTGGCCTGTTCCTACTAAGGTTACTGAACTGCGTTCTTTCCTTGGTTTGACAAACTATTATCGAAAATTTATGAAGAATTATTCAAAGAAGGTTGCGGTGCTGACTGATCTTCTAAGGAAGGATAGGACATGAACTGGTCCTACGAATGCCAGGAAACATTTGATCGATTGAAGGCGGTGGTGACATTTAGCCCAATTTTACAGTTACCTGACTTTGATTTGCCTTTTGAGGTCCATACAGACGCATCAGACTTTGCTCTTAGAGTGGTGCTGGTGCAAAATGGGCATCCGGTGGCATTTGAAAGTAAGAAGTTGAATGATACTGAGAGGCGGTATTCAATACATGAGAAGGAGATAACAGCAGTCATTCACTGCATCAATGCATGGAGGCATTACTTGTTAGGGAAGCATTTCCTTGTACTGACAGATAATGTAGCTACCAGCTGCTTAAATTCCATGAAGAAACTGACACCAAAACAAGTAAGATGACAGAACTTTCTTGCCCAGTTTCATTTCACGTTGCAGTACAAGTCTGGCAGTGCAAATCAGGTTGCTGATGCTCTTAGTCGAATCCCAGTTGCTGATTGGACGGTTGCTGCACTTAGCCAGATTGCAGGAGACATACTGCAGAGAATTCAGGATCAGACAAAAGATGATTCAGTGACCAGCTTATTGTTGAAGCAGGTTCACGAAGGAGTGACTTGGCGGTTTTGGGTAAAGGATGGTGTTTTCTACGCCAAAGGAAGGAGACCCTATGTTCCGAAGTTAGGCAGACTTCGACAGATGTTGCTGAAAGAAACTCATGATACTCTGTGGTCAGGACATCCAGGGCAGCAATGGACTCTTGCCTTGCTAGCAAAAAGCTATTATTGGCCCCGCATAGAAGCAGATATGGAGATGTATGTGCGCACTTGTTTGGTGTGCCAGCAAGACAAGACAAAAAGGAAGAAGGTGACGGGTACGTTGGAATCCCTCCCTATTTTCAGGCAGACCTTGGGAGAGTGTTTCCATGGACTTCATTAATGGCTTGCCTTAGGTGAACGATTTTTACTTCGATATTTGTGGTTGTAGACAGATTTTTGAAGTATGCCACTTTCATTGCTGCCCCAAAAGTATGTACGGCGGAAGTTACTGCTCAGTTGTTCCTCAAGCATATTGTGAAGCTTTGGGGTCTTCCGTTGGATATAGTCAGTGACAGGGACACTCGGTTTACTGGCCAGTTCTGGAAGGCTTTATTTGAACTGTTGGGCACACAGCTCAACCTTTCCACCAGCAATCATCCACAGACAGATGGACAGACCGAGCGGGTTAATACAATGATGGAGGAATATCTCAGACACTATGTCACAGCGAACCAGGACAACTGGGTGGATTTACTTGATGTAGCTCAATTCAGTTATAACCTCCAACAGAGCTCTTCCACTGGAATGAGCCCATTTGAGTTGGCAACTGGTCAACAGCCTCTTACCCCGTATGAAGTTGTCAAGCAGAAGTCTCAAGGGAGATGTTCTGCGCCATACCACTTTGCTCGGGCCAATCAGGAGCGAACCGACAAGGCAAAAGACTGTTTAACTAAGGCGGTGAAGAGGGTAAAAAAGTGGGCAGACGAGAAGAGGAGGGCAGTAGAGTCCGAAGTGGGTGACAAAGTGATGCTGAAATTAACCCCACCAATCTGGAACAAGATCTCTCGAAAATCTGCACACAAGGGACTAATCTAGCACTATGACGGGTCTTTCCTTATAACAATGAGGATTGACAAGTTGGCCTATAGGTTAGATCTTCCCAGTCGTCTCAAGCTTCATCCAGTTTTCCATGTTGCCTTTTTGAAGTCTTATATTGAGGACCCGAAAGACCCTACCAGATACGTTCAGCGTCGGGCTCCTCTAATAATTAGGAAGCAATTCACAGAAATAACTGAAATTATCCTTGACCACAAGACTGAGGGAATGAGTAAGAAAAACAGAAGAACTCATTACCTAGTCAAGTGGAAAGGGAAAGCAACAGAGGAAGTCACTTAAGAGAAAGAGACGACATTGTGACAGTTTGAGGATCTCATCAAGTAATACCATGCCTCCATTCCAACAAAGTCGTTGGATACTTCAGGTGGGGGTGGCTTGTCACACCCTAACTGACTTTGGTGCAAATGACCAGTCTTGGTAGCACCTTGCACCAAGACATGCCATAAGTTGGAATCAAGGTGACGCGGCTAAATGGTTCGACAGATTGGGGCAAACCAAGGCAGCATGAGACCACCCGGTTGATCATGGCAGCACGTGGTGGGCTCAATTGAAGCAATGTGGATGCGTTGCTTTGGATTGAATCCAGCATGCACATTGGTTCGTGAAACAAGGCTGGCTACTGAATGTGGGCACATGACTGGCACATGGTTGCTCAATACATGTGACCAGGAGAATGTGGGCAGTTGTAGATGCTGAGACACATTCAAGGCAGTTGCTGAGGCAATTCTGGACGTCCCTTGTCTGAATTCAGTCCAGATGCATGCTGGTGAATGGTAATTCCACATCAATTACTGAAAGGGGTAGAACTGCCTACCAGGTGTCGCACAAAGTCCAAGCCTACTAGCCAAATATGCTATAGAATAACAAAAACGTGTGTAACTACCCCTTGGCAGATAAGGGTGTCATCTGTCTTACTCTTATATAAATAGGGATGCTTGAGCATTCTGATAGAGAGAGAGTGTTCTGGCTTTGAGAGTTTCTTGTAAATTGTTGAGTTTAATATATAAAATTTGAGAGTTTTGTCCCAATAAATTCGTGTGTGCTTTCTGTGTGAGTTTCTGTCCTTTATTCTTGAGTTTGTGTGTGACTAGTTGCAATAGCAACGCCTTCACAGATACTCTCGAAAGAAAAACGAAAGTTACCCCATGACATGTCACTAAAATAGCAAGTCCCCTCCCCCCGCCCCCCAAAAAAAAATTAAATTAAATTAAATTTTCCATCTTGTGATTTAATCTTGACAATGGAGTATTGGCTAATTTGATTTTAAACGGTTATCATAAAATACGAAGTTACTAGTTTTTTAGCAGCCGATGCACACCCAATACAATACAACCTTTTTCTTTTTTTCTTTTGATTGGTATATTCTACGATTTTTAACCCTACATATTTTCACCTTTTATTCCAAAGCAAAATGATATCACCTGCAATATCATGTTCCTGATAAACCAAATGCTGAGGGTATCGAATTACTATCGATCGATGGCATTATCAAACTGGGTTTTTATCTAGAGTTGCGTTTGGGTCAACCCAATCCGTACAAGAAGTTCATTTAGGTAAATAGAGGGCGAGCCAAACCTCTCCCAAAAATGACGATCGAGGAAAGAGGAGGCGGCCAGGAGCAACCTGGGAGCTTCTTTGGTTTGCTGTACTATGACTCCGAGCGAAATGTCGTCATACTAGGGTAGGACCAAACAGTTCATAAATTTGTGATCGTACCCTAGTAGAAATCATTAGGCTCTTCATCCAGGAATCCATTGGCCAAACATTGTGTCTTTCAAGATATTCATAAAGGATAAATATTTGAGACATTATTTTTTTGATTGGTAATCTTTGAAATATTATTTATCATACCAGTACATTAGGAAGATTTTTGTGTTATGAATTACAACAGATGTACCAGCTTTGCTTTCATGTTGAGACCAATGAAAAGAAAGGAGCTCCTGAAATACTCTTTGTTCTCAAGATCTTTCTCACCAGTATTCTCCACTTAATATCATCCTTCTTGCTCTGTTTGTTTATCCTCAGCTTAAACTTTCTGAAAATGGCACAATTCCTTGGGTTAGTTAGACATTTGAGCTAGTCTCTTTCTGGATGGAGATATGGAAAATAGCAAATGAAACAAGGCATGAGATGGGGGTGTTTTTTGGGGGTGGGGGTGGGGGTGGGTGGGACGGGTATGATGATAAGAGGAAAGATTACAAGATGCACCTGCATAAAGGAACCCTACAAACATTTGAATCAGCGCAGAGACGAGAGTGTAATTCCAAGACCTGCCACATTCTCTTGCAATGGATGCAGTCACCGGAGACTCTCATTTTGCATCCAGCAAAGTGACGAACAAGCAATTCTAGGCCCTTACAAGCCTCATAGTCGCAAGGCGCCTGATTCTCTTTTAGAAGCTTGTCGTGTGGACCGATGGTGCGACAACCATCTCTGCATATATGAACAAGAGCTTCCATTGCCTCATATAATTGCAGATACATCTTTCTCTCATTCACCTTTCTCACCCTCTCTTTCTGCCTCTGTAAGTTAAAACACGAACATATTGCACAGATCAAAAAGAAGAAAGAGAATTTAAAATGTGTTGCCAAGATATATTACCAATAAAAGAAATACTTACGGTATCCTCTTCAATAACAGATTCCAGAAGTTCCTTTTCCAACACTGGGTGGCTCTCCTTCATTATTTTCCATCCTTCGGTGGCAGAAACAGCCTTGAAGCTTTTCAATATCAGACGGTGACAAATGAGGCTAAGCCGCGGGGCATCACAAAGTAGTGCAAGCTGCAAGACGTCAATTACGTTCTCTATGGTGAGTAATCCTTGCTCCATCTGCCATTCTGATAATCGCTTTAACTGTGGCACCACAAATACATGTGATAACACCAATAAATGCAAGGCGTGTTCCACCATTTCTTGTTGTTCGTAGCTACACAAAATCATGAAAGAAACTAAGCTAATGTACTGTGCATCAACAGCCAGACGAGGGACCCCAGGGGAGAAAAAGGAGAGTGAAAAACCGAGAACATGTCACAGTAGCTTTACAATGAGTTTTTTATGGTCATTAGTTTTTCTCTACAACCATGTGAATCAAAATTTGGCTTAGGGTGCCCAGTAAATGTTTCACTTGAGTTGTGATAAGACAAACACTACCAGACCAATTATTTTGCCTGATCAAGAAATCACCAAGATGTTTTGGTTTATTGATACAGAGACTGATTTGCAATGATTACCAAATCACTTGATAATCCTGTGAATGAATTTCTGCTATACCTTGTGGCCTCTATATACAACTTCTCCATATATTCTGACCTATATGTGAGGATCCTTGAGCATTGATTTGAATACTTTTTAATTATGAAATATGTGAAGCAAGTGCAAGAACATGTTCCAAGGAACCCAAAAAACACCATACCAGGAAGAATACAAGAATCGAATGAAAACTCGAACAGCCTCGTGTGGAACCCCCCATATTGAGATTGATCGCCGATGACCACGGCGTCTTGATTGCTTTAACATGCTTTTCAATACCGGGGAAGCTATGCCCTGTTGAAAAACATCTAAGGAATGAATAAAATCTACATGTTCAAAATACCATCTCAACAGGCCAAAAGAATTTTATCTGTCACTTGAATTAGGATGAAAACTATACAACTCCAGAGCAGGTAAGACCGTAGACCCTATACATTCATTATTATTTGGTACACATGCTCAGAACAGTAGAGATTAGATACAATGGAGGCCACTGACAGCCAGGCAACAGACATAACAAGAGGTATACAATTTATTCCTGATGTACCCACACATTCTGGATGCGCCATTCATATGATTAAAATCATCATGACCATAGGAACACAGGTTAATTGTCACAGTCTCTGATGTTTGATCCAGAGCTATATGCACACATTTATTTAGTTAACACTTTCAACAGGAAATGGGAATGGGGTACTTCGTTAGCCAGTATGCATAAACTATGACCACCCAAATAGAAAAGGGAACAGCGTACTTCATTAGTGCATTCATTTCCTGCTTACTATTTGAATCCACGGGCTTAAATTCATGTGTTATATTTACCTCGCCTGCAAGCCAGGTTACCATGGATCCTATAGAATTACTCATTTATCATATTTAAGAAATTCAAAATAAAAGAACTTACCAGAATGCTAGCATGTGCGTAGATGACTTCACCACTAGCTGTATTAATTGAAACATCTGCTCTATAAGCTTCGTCAAAGAGGCGGTCCCATGAATTCCTCATAGCTGTAGAGACACAACTCTGTCCTCTGAGTGATGATCTCTTCATGACTAATCCCTTTTGAGGACAGCTGGTTGTCACCAGACCAAGTAATGGAGGTGGGACAGGTAAATTTTTGTCAGCAATCCAGGAAGTTTTATCACAGTCGTTATCCATCTTTTCCTCAGTTTCTCAGCTCCCTCTCTGCAGAACCATAACACCATTGATTTCAGTATTGATTTCAAAATATGCAAATCGAGTTCAGATATTTTTTTGAAAAAAATGAGGCTTTGAAACATGTGTGCCAATGTTGAGAGTTCTTTGGCCCTAGATATTACAAAGTCGACTAACCATTCTGGGAATCTGACTAGCTTGAACTGAATGGGAACAACTGAAACAATCTTATACCAGAGATGGATTGGCATCGATACCTTTGCAAGTCTGTGGCATAAATAAACAGAAAATACCTACAGGACTCCACCAAAATGCTAAAAAGAACCTACTTCGATGAAGGGTACACATAACCCCTAAAAGTAAGCACTACATTCCTACACTAATTATCCCACAGTGCCAATTGTTCCAATCACAAAGCTGGCCAGTGGAATAGCAGGTTTCAAGACCACAGGGCGAGTTGAGTTACAGTGAGGTATATAAGGGAGGGGGGCTGAGAAGGTTTGGAAGTTTTTATAGGTTATTAAGTGATGCCTACAATTTCGATGAGTTCGCCCCCAGTTTTTTCTATTTTCCTAAATCCCCGAAAAATCTCAAAAGAATTCATCCCATGTTCAAGGAACTTATTCCAAATTTCTTTTTGTGTTTATAGGCTTACAGCCATAAACATTGCAATGCAAGGAGAAAAAGAACAAAATCTCTGCATTCGTTCAACCCTCTGCTCCTCTATGCATTGCTCAGATTATCATTTTGAAAGTTGAAAGCATTTATTTTCGACCATTTAATAGCAAATTCATTTCCTCTTGGCTCTAAAATGCAAGAAAATTCCTTTCAAAATTTCACATTATTAGTTTCTAATAACATCAGAAGAATTCCTACACCCAATGAGAAGTTTAATTCAACATAGAAACCGAAAGACTAATGTCTGAATACATGTGATTGTCCAATTGTTCTTGCAATTGTCTAGCCAATTAAAAAGAAAGGTAAAAGGTAAAGGAGATACACAATACAAAACCCCATTACCTTTCTCCCCAAAGTAGAAAATTCGTGAAATTGGATGCTGCCTGTGAATCACTTCCGTTCCAAACTCGTCTCTCTGAATGAAGCCGCAACCCAATCTCTATTACTATTTATAAACACAACCACAGGCTCTCTTTGAGGCCTGAGAGAGAGAGAGAGAGAAAGAGACAGAAGCCACCCAGAAGGACACTATAATGTACGAATTGAATTAGGAATTGAATAGGCACATCAAGACAGGTTGGTGATGGAATTGATAATGGTGATGATCTGTAGTCGTGTCAGATCCGACTCCGTCTTTGTGGAAACCGTGAGAAGTTGGAAGGCTATTTGAAGTCAATTCATATGAACTATGAAGGGTGCGTGTTGCTAATTTCCTCTGCTTCTTCAATATGATATCCGTTCCCCGCGTTTTTCTCTCTCCTCCATTGTTTTACACTTTTTTAAAGTTTTTCTTTTCTTATAATAGGACTAGCGCTTTACCTTTTATTTTTTCTCAGTTATTATTTAATTGGTTAGTAAAAATATTATAAAAATTATTAAATTATGAAATTTATTTTTTTGAAAAAAAATTAAATAAGTGATGGTTAAAAAAAAAATTTATGGATAGTTATATTAGGATAGTTATTGAAGATATTTAGTCGTATATAATTGGAGGATGAAAATTTTATTAATTTAAAATTCTTAAAAATTACAAAAGTGGAATGAAAAGTTTTTTAAACTCCCTCCCTAATATTTTTTTTTTTTTGCTCATCCCTAAGAATTTGATTGCTGCATATATATACTAGTGTCGCCCATGTGATGCATGAAAATTGCACATATCTCCATCCACCGTTCCCTTCTTTTTTGTTATTTTCTATTGTCATCATACCATTAAAAAAATTAGATCAGAAATTATAAAAAAAAAAAAAATAGGGTGATAAAATAATTATGTAAAGTTGTGGCGGTGAAACTATATTTCTTAAAAAATTTACATTAGTGGCTCATTGTGTCAAAAAAAAAAACTGAATGACCGCTTGTTAATTAGTGGTGTGGAGAGATAGTTATATGAGACGTGTTAGAATATAATTGGTTAGGTGATAATTAAATAATTAAAAACTCTAAAGAAAAAAGAAAGTGTGAGAGAAGACTTTTGAACTCACCTCCCGCCTAATTTGATTATTTTAGATTGTGTTATTTGAGCATCTTAATGGTGTTTATTTGTTCAAAGTATAATTTAGTGTTTTCGATATTTTGAGCTAAAAAATGGTCAAACACTTGACAATTTTTTAATCCTATGCATGAACTCCATATGCTAAATTCTATATAATAAGTTCGAGTTTTTCTCCCATCTCATATCTTTAAAATTCTTATTTTCCGAACTCATGTGCTCTTAATAGTATATATTAAATTCACCCACTTCTAAAAACATCATTTTTAATAAATGCATTCTATGTAGAAATACTATTTTAAGTTGTGTCTTCGTATAGATCTTACGGTTGCAAACCATTGAAAATAAAAATTATTTCAGCAAAATTAGAACTCATTACCAACTTTATATATATCACAAATCCATGATGGAATAGAAAGAACATACTTCGGCAAACACTAATGAAGAGATAGAGATTGGGTTTGCGGCAAACCAATGAGATAGAGAAACCTGGATCACACTAAAGAAGGGTCAGGAGAGGGATTAGAGGATTCTTTGTAATATTCCCTTTCAATGCTCAACTCAATTAGTGTGAGAGAGAAGATATGAGACTTCCTGAGTATAGTTAAGTCTAATTTGCATACCGAAGGGCGTCTTTAATCCGATCCTTCAAAATAATTACTTAAAATATATTTAGATGTTGCATATTTTACTTTAATTAGTCGCTTTCACAAGTTCATTTCAACCACACTCTTTATTTTAATTAATTATTTCACTCAACTTTCACTAATTTTCAATAAATTAAAAAAAATAAAATATATATAGAGAGAGAGAGATAGAGAGAGAAAGAGGTAGAGACAATTTAAAAAAGTTAAATTGATTCCCCACATTTGGAGAGTTATTTGGATGAAATGAGAAATATAGAACGGGATAAAGAGCGGATTGAAGAGTATTTTTAGCGGAAAATGTTATTTTAATTATTTTAAAGATAATTTGTTTAAATAAAATTTTGGGTTAAATAATTAAAATTTAAAAATTTTGTGTGTTTAAGATTATGTATCGGAGATGCACTATTGGGTGCCGATGTAGATTGTTGTTTACATTGATTATCTTACTGACAATCGTAGCAACTTTTTTTGAAGTGAAATCGTGTCTTGACCCACGAGCACGGTAGGGGCAGCCATATGAATGTGTCTATCATGTCAAGAGATGTCCCTATCCCGTTGTAAGATGGCTTCACGTTGTGCGATCTCAATCGATTCTACTGATGTCGATGGGTCCCCGATGGTGACGAGGGGAGAGAAGTCTTAACGTCCCGAAATACTCTCCTCACCGGGCATTCTCCACCGTCGAACGAATCGGTGCTGATGGAACATTTTCAGATACTTCAAAATGATGAAAGTGTTTTCGACGTCAATGAATATTCACCTATCAAATCATGACATGTGTGCGTCGATCCATAATCCCCTTTCTCTGAGGATATTATTTACAGGGATCAAGGATCCCCAGTATCTCATAGACCGACACGTATTCCTCAATCAGTTTGGGTACATCGGCTCTTAGCGACGTTGGACTCTCGGCACCGAGGTATATCCGGTTACGAAGCATTTCTGCTCCTATAGAACTATCGATGGACAAATTACTAGCCTAGGCTAAACTAGACTAGTCATCATGACCTCATCTTACTCAAATAGTATCAGGAGGCACAAGAAAACAGAAGGCTCAATCAAGAGAAAATGGACACATGGCGTATTGTGTCAGATCAGAGACAAAAAGACCATAATGCCCTTGCTGACACACGACTTGGAAAAGCAAGTATTTAATGCACTCTTCCTTTGATGAGACAACATTTAATGCATGAGAGCCTGAAAGTGAAAAGTAATAAATGTCTCAAAACATGGGCATTTAATACACCCCCACCGAGGGAAGGTCATTAAACGTTCGATAGACCAAGGATAAAGTATTAGTTGCTCAGGGTCCCGAACAGTTAAGAATAAGAACAGTACTCATAGAAATTGGTGTGCACACACTGCCCACCTCCAATGATTACCTACTAGCTACGCTGTCAGCAATGATGAATTTTTAAAGTATAAATAGTCCTCACAAACACATAAAATAGGTACACCAAAAACCCTTTCTCAAGCATCATACAGTATTTTCTTCTTCCCCTCTCTCAAAGAATTGACTTGATCGTCGGAGAAGATACGCCAGAAAACACTCCGGCGCCCTTCTAACATGTTTTTTCTTTATTCCAGGAACCTCCCTTAACCTTTCAGGATCACTCAGGCGACCCCTAAAAATAATTTATCATCACTTCATTGGCCACTTTTGGCCCTCACAACTTGTTCCAAGTAGCAAGATCGACCATTCGATTGACGGACTCATGTTCACCACGGAAGAGATCTGTTCTCGTGTTTATATTGTGCAGGATTGTGCATGCACAATCTGACGCCGTCTGTGGGAAACGACTAATTTTTCTAGTTCCATTTCTAGAAAAAACAGTGACCATGGTGAATACTTGATAAAAAGGGAAAGGTCCCCAGCAAAGAAGTCTAAAGTTATAAGCTCCTCATCATGACGAGGGGAGGGATTACGCTGGTGACAACAGGAAGGTTTCTGTTCAGTCAAGGGGGCATACTCCTCTAACCAGTATGGGCATTGGGTCAAGAGGATCCACCCCCTTGGCTCGTCAACTGGCGAAAGTGATCGAAAAAAAGTTTGGAGATTGACTACGATAGTTAGAAAAAGATAATGTGAATGTTCTAAGCCGGCTCAATGAATTTGTAGCCCCTGGCGATGGATCAAGAGACTTATTCCGTTCCCGCGGATGCTCCTTCTGGGAAGTAGAAACCGAGGACTTGAGAAATCACTTGAACAACAAAGCTGAGAGTTCCAAGGTCCCAAAGCGCCCAAGAGCCAATGAGCACCCCCTCAATGGCCGTCCAGGAAGAACACAGGCAGCCTAGCTGGACAGATCCGTTTCTAAGGTTCCTGGTAATAGGGAACCTCCTCGGGTGTTCAAAAGAAGCCAGAAAGGTAAAGCTCAAAGCCCCGAGGATTTTGGGTCTCCCTAGATCAGAAGTTATACCGAAGGTTGTTCTCAGGGCCTTACCTACAATGTGTCCAGAAGGACAAGGTGGAAGACCTCCTCTATGAAGTATACGAAGAAATATATGGGAGGTACTCTGAGGGGTGATCCATGGCTCACCGCATCATGTCTCAGGGATATTGGTGGTCACAGATACAAAGGGATGCGCAAGCATATGTCCAGAAATGTGACCAATGTTAGAGATTCACCCGGTAATCAAACAGCCTGCAAGGGACTTGCATCCATTAACCAGCCCTTAGCCATTCGCCCAGTGGGGGCTCGACTTGGTTGGACCACTGTCTAAGGCTCCTGGGAACAAAACGTTCCTGATTGTAGCAACGAATTACTTCACCAAGTGGGTTGAGGCGGAGCCATTGACTCACATCCGCGACATAAACGCTAAAAAGTTTGTTTGGGGAAACATAGTCATTAGATTTGGGGTTCCCCGAGCGCTTGTATCAAATAACGGGACTCAATTCACTAGCGGACACTTTAAATCCTTTTGCGAGCAACTTGGGATCCATAATTTTTATTCTACCCCTGCATACCCCCAAGCCAATGGGCAGGCAGAATCTTCCAACAAAATGATCGTCAACAGGATCAAGAAGAGATTGAAAAAGTCAAGGGAAGATGGGCAGATGAACTGTTAGATATTCTGTGGGCGTACAGGACCACCCCTCGGACCTCAACAGGGGAGACCCCCTACTCCTTGACCTACGGGGTGGAGGTAGTCATACCTCTGAAAGTGGGACTCCCTACCATAAAGACACAAGCCATCAACACAGGGGGCAATAACCATTAACTTGGCCTGGATGTGGATCTAGTAGAGGAAAGAAGGGAAATGACTGCCTTGAGAATGGTCAAATATCAGGGATGGATTTCCAGACTTCACAACAAAAGAGTCAAGACCCGAGAATTTCAAGTCGACGATTTGGTCCTTAGAAAGGTGACGGCCAATACCCGAG